CCACTCTCCCCTTCCTGTCTGGTCCCCTCCCACTTCCACCCCCACTTCCTGACTGGTTCCCTCCCACTCCCACCCCCACTTCCTGTCTGGTCCCTTCCTGCTTCCACCCCCCACTTCCTGTCTGGTCCCCTCCCACTTCCACCCCCCACTTCCTGACTGGGCCCCTCCCACTTCCACCCCCCACTTCCTGACTGAGCCCCTCCCTCTTCCACCCCCACTTCCTGTCTGGTCCCCTCCTGCTTCCACCCCCATTTCCTGTCTGGTCCCCTCCCACTTCCACCCCCCACTTCCTGACTGGGCCCCTCCCACTTCCACCCCCCACTTCCTGACTGAGCCCCTCCCTCTTCCACCCCCACTTCCTGACTGGGCCCCTCCCACTTCCACCCCCACTTCCTGTCTGGTCCCCTCCTGCTTCCACCCCCACTTCCTGACTGGGCCCCTCCCATTTCCACCCCCACTTCCTAACTGGTCCCTTCCCACTCCCACCCCCACTTCCTGTCTGGTCCCCTCCTGCTTCCACCCCCATTTCCTGTCTGGTCCCCTCCCACTTCCACCCCCCACTTCCTGACTGGGCCCCTCCCACTTCCACCCCCCACTTCCTGACTGAGCCCCTCCCTCTTCCACCCCCACTTCCTGTCTGGTCCCCTCCTGCTTCCACCCCCATTTCCTGTCTGGTCCCCTCCCACTTCCACCCCCCACTTCCTGACTGGGCCCCTCCCACTTCCACCCCCCACTTCCTGACTGAGCCCCTCCCTCTTCCACCCCCACTTCCTGACTGGGCCCCTCCCACTTCCACCCCCACTTCCTGTCTGGTCCCCTCCTGCTTCCACCCCCACTTCCTGACTGGGCCCCTCCCATTTCCACCCCCACTTCCTAACTGGTCCCCTCCCACTTCCACCCCCACTTCCTGCTGGTCCCCACCTGCTTTCACCCCCCGCTTCCTGTCTGGGCCACTCCCACGTCCACCCCCACTTCCTGTCTGGTCCCCTCCTGCTTCCACCCCCATTTCCTATCTGGTCCCCTCCCACTTCCACCCCCCACTTCCTGACTGGGCCCCTCCCACTTCCACCCCCACTTCCTGACTGAGCCCCTCCCTCTTCCACCCCCACTTCCTGCTGGTCCCCACCTGCTTTCACACCCCCCCCCCCCCCCCCCCCCGCTTCCTGTCTGGGCCACTCCCACGTCCACCCCCACTTCCTGTCTGGGCCACTCGCGCTTCTACCCCCACTTCCCGACTGGGCCCCTCTTGCTTCCACACTCCACTTCCTGACGTTCCCTCCCCCATGCCGTCTCAGTCTGTGGGAAGGCGGCATCTCCACAGCCAGTCAGAACCCTGTCCTGCCCCAAAAGTTCCAGCTGTCCGGCCAGAGGCCACCTGAGAGTGGGCATCTGAGCCATGGGGCCAGTAGTCCATCCTGAGACTCTGGCTATGCTGGGGAAAAAGGCTCGTTTTCCAGTGCTCATCTGATGCCCGGGAGCCTGGGTCTTAGGAGCACGGGGTGGGCACCGTGGAGTGCAGTCCCCGTCCCTGTGCCCCTGTCCCCGAGTCTGCGTGGAGACTCCTCCCCTGCGTCAGCCCCGACTCCCAGCCAAGGCCCTTCCCGGCATGCTGGCGGCACCAGAACCGCAGCCTCTCCCTGGCATGCTCCTCCCGCTGGAATCCCCGGTGCCAAGTGGCTGAGTAATCTGCTGGGCTCTGCCACGACCCATCACTGTCTGTCCGTCCATCTGCATCGGCTGCTGGAGCCTCAGCCCTGGACCTCGAAATGCTTCGCAGGAAGGGATGGAAGGGAAGGAATTGGCTCTTTGGCCCTGGTCAGGTGCGAAGGCAGGGGCTGGGCCCAGCAAATCCTTCTGGAAGGATCCCCGCAGTCCACTCCTAGGGTGCTGGGAGGCCCCAGGTGTTAGGTGGACGTGAGATGGGGCAGTAGCAGCCCAGGCCCAGGCCGCACCTCACTCGTCTGCGCCTCCTGGGCTGTCCCGAGCAGTTTTGGGACACGGGAACAAGGTGTGCTTTGGGCTGCAGGACAGGCAGGGAGTCCCGCCCAGGCCTCAGCGCCCCCCCCCCCCCCAACCTGCACTTGCTCCAGGCTTTAGAACATGGCGAGCCCCAAGGCAGAAACGCTCAGCGTGTTGCAAGGACCCCTCAGGGGCCCCAGCACCTCTGGTGTCCATTCCTAGGTGTCCAAGCTGACACGGCGAGTGAGGCCCACTCAGGGCCAGGCCGTCTGCCCAGCTCTTAACCCTCTGTGGTTAGCATGTGCGGGAAGCGGGCAGGGCGCTGTCCACTGGCTCTCACCGCGCTGGACATGATGTCGGTGGGCCCCACGGGTGACTTATGTGAAGCGGGGAGGAGAAAGACGGTCACTTTCTCCCCAACCGCCCCTGCTACCCGGGACCCAGGGCTACTGGGTCCTTGTCTCGCCTCCCAGAAAGGAATGTCAGGAGTAGACAAGGAGTGAAATACCTGGATTTTATTTGGAGGGTTTTTAAGGTGTGGAGGGGGAAGAGAGTGAGAGAGTCGTACTCAAGAGAGAATGCGGGCTTCTCCAAGGGCGGGGGGATCCCCTCCACGCATCCTAGCGTTAGACACGAGAGCAAGAAAGTCCACACCTCAAGCGGGAAGATGCTCGGGCACCACATGTGCCCGGGCGACACCCGTGCTCGGCCGCAGGGGCGCAAGCAGCACAGGGGCTCAGGCAGCATATGCGCGCCCCTCCTTTGTTCAAGGTGGCCTTTATAGGGTTTCTCCAACCTGCCCCCACCTGGGGCTTCCTCCTAGGCCAAGTTCATTGCTAAGGAGGTTACCAGGCGCGTTGGGAAAGGTCATGGTCTTCTTTGAATTTCCTTTCCTGGCCTTTTGTTCCTGCAGGAGCAACTTTGGGTCGGCTGCTGGGGCCAGGTGAGGGCCTTAGCAGGCCTGAGTTCCTGTTTGCCATTGCCTAGGGAGGGGACTTCCCTGTCTACCTGCCTACATCAGACCAACTCTGTGCTCTGTGCTCTGTGACTCTCCCCTCCTGGAGCCCCCCCCCCCCCAGCCTCCAGGGTGTCTGTGGGGGCGGGGCGGGGGGCCGCGTGCCTTTACCAACTCCCAGGAAAGTGCCCGCTGGACTCAGGCTTCGAGGAGGACAGGGGCAGGACACAGCCACCCGAGTGTGTCCCTGCTGGGGTCTGGGCTCCACTGCCACCCGGCCTGTGCTGAGCGGAGACCCCGGGAGTGCTCCCCCCCACCCTGCTGTGGCTTTGGGGCCACATCTGCTGTGCTGGGGGGGCTACTCCCGGCTCTGTCCTCAGGGGTCACCTGGGATGAACTCAGCCTCCGGTGACAGTCTGGGAGTCTGTGGAAGGCACCACCTGGTGGGCCTCAGGGGACTGTCCCAGAGGAAGACCCCCCTGGGGAAAGGGGCTTCAGGCCCCAGGGCTTCCGCAGCCAAGCGGGGCAGGGCGGGGCCTGAGCAGATCGGGGTGGCAGGGCAGGCGGGTCTCCCGTGGCTGACACGTCAGCTGGAAGTGAAACGTGAGCCCGGGACTAGAACCCAGCAGGCGGAGGGAAGGGCCAGTGAGCGCAGGCGGGCAGCAGCGCTGCGAGGCTGCAGGCCGCGCCCCAGCTGAGGGTCACCAGGATCGCTCTGGCAGTCCCAGCGCGGCCCTGTGCAGGCCCTCCCTCGTCCCTCCCCAGGGAGCCTGAGCCTCAGCGGAGGTGGTGAGGTCACGGGATTAACGAGGTGCTGGCACCGAGGAAGCGCCCCGCTGCCAGGCAAACATTTCCGTGGCTGGTTCAGACAGCAGCCTGGGGAGTTCTGGTGAACTTCCTGGAGGAGGTGGCAGGCCCCTAGATCATTGTTGCCAGGACAAACAGCATCACCCCGGGGGAGGTGCGGTGGGGACCCTTTCTGTCTGTTCCCTTCACACCTTAGGGGGGGCACCTGGGCAGGGGGCCACCGGGTGCTTTGAAGCAGGTGAGTACCCTCTTCTCTGCGGAGCTGTTGGTGGGCACCTCAGCCCAGCGCCACAGGAGAGCTCTGGGGGCACTGAGGGCCAGAGGGGACAGGCACCGGGGCGCGGTCACTCGGGCCTGGGGGCCAGCGCCCCCGACCGAGGCCATCCATCCCCCTCCCGCTGTTCAGGGCAGTCCAGGCACTGCCCGGGGTGCCCAGGCCACCAACCAAGGCCCGGGGGGCCCAGGTCGGGGCAGCGGGCGGTCAGGCGCGCGGACAGCAGCCCCTGGACACCGGTCCCTGTCCAGGGGGTCCGGGTGGCGGCTGTCGCGGTGGGCTGGACGGTGGGCGGGGGGGTGGGGGCGCCGCCAGGGGGTCCGGGCAGGGGCGAGCCTGGCGCAGCGCCGGGGCGCGGGGCCGCTCAGCCCGGGGCCGGACTGCCAGTTGGCGCCCTCCGCGCGGGAAGCCGGGGGCGGGGCGGGGGGCGCGGGGGGCGGGGCGGCGCCCCTCGTAGGCGGCGGGGGCGGCGCGAGGGGCTGGGGGCGGGGGTGCGAAGGGCGCCGGGCGGGGGTCGGGCGCCCCTCCTTGGCGGGGGCGGGGCCGGGGCCTCTCGTGGGCGGGCCGGGGCGGAACCTCTCGTTGTCGGGGCGTGGCCGGGGCGGGACCGGCGCCTCTCATTGGCGGGGGCGGTGCGGGGGCGGGGCCGGGACAGGCGCCTCTCATTGGCGGGGGCGGTGCGGGGGCGGGGCCAGAGCCTCCCGTCGGCAGCGGGGGCGTGGCCGGGACAGGCGCCTCTCATTGGCGGGGGCGGTGCGGGGGCGGGGCCAGAGCCCCTCGTTGGCGGCGGGGGCGTGGCCGGGACAGGCGCCTCTCATTGGCGGGGGCGGTGCGGGGGCGGGGCCAGAGCCTCCCGTCGGCAGCGGGGGCGGGGCCGGGGCGGGACCGGCGCCTCTCATTGGCGGGGGCGGTGCGGGGGCGGGGCCAGCGCCCCTCGCTGGCGGCGGGGGCGGGGCCGGGGCGGGCGGGCGCCCCCTGGCGGCGGCGGCGGCGCGCGGCGGAAGTGCGGGCGCTGGCGCGGGGCCGGGAGCGGTGGCCGCGGGCCGGGCGGGCACCGGCCCGATGCGGCGGCGGGAGAAGCGGCTGCTGCAGGCGGCGGCGCTGCTGCTGGCGGCGCTGGTGGCGGCGCCCAGCGTGGGGCTGTGGACGCTGCACCGCGAGCGGCCGCCCGACGGCTCCCCCGGGGCGGCCCCCTGGCAGGTGAGTCCCCGCCGCGGCCCGACCCTCCGAGGCCGAGGCCGAGCGGCCCGAGCGGCCGGGGCTGGACATCCGGCGCCCGCCCGCCCGCCCGGCCCGGCCCGCCCCGCGGCGCCCAACTCGCTCCGGGTCCGGTTTCTCGGCCACCGCCCGGGCGCGCCCTCGGAACTGTGCGGGTGCGAGCGACGTGCGGGCGCGAGGGAGGGCGAGGGCCCGTCCCGTGAGGGCTGCGGCGCCGCGTGAGCCGTGAGCCGAGTGCTCCGTTGAGAGCTGCGTCCTGACGCGCGCGCCCGTCCTGGGAGGGCGGTGTCCTTTGCGAGAGTTGTGTCCTGTGGGAGCTCTGAGCTGGGTTCTGTGAGAGGGCTGTGTCCGGGGTGAGCGTTGTCGCCTGTGTGCACTGTGTCCTGTGTGAACTGTGTCCTGTGTGTGCGCTGTGTCCTATGAGATCTGTGTCCTGTGTGAACTGTCCTGTCTCCACCGTGTCCTGTGAGAGCTGTGTCCTGTGTGTGAGCTGTGTCCTGTGGGAGCTCTGAGCTGGGTTCTGTGAGAGGGCTGTGTCCGGGGTGAGCGTTGTCGCCTGTGTGCACTGTGTCCTGTGTGAACTGTGTCCTGTGTGTGCGCTGTGTCCTGTGTGTGAGCTGTGTCCTATGAGATCTGTGTCCTGTGCGAACTGTGTCCTGTGTGTGAGCTGTGTCCTATGAGATCTGTGTCCTGTGTGAACTGTCCTGTCTCCACCGTGTCCTGTGAGAGCTGTGTCCTGTGTGTGAGTTGTGTCCTGTGAGAGCTCTGAGCTGGGTTCTGTGAGAGGGCTGTGTCCGGGGTGAGCGTTGTCGCCTGTGTGCACTGTGTCCTGTGTGAACTGTCCTGTCTCCACTGTGTCCTGTGAGAGCTGTGTCCTGTGTGTGAGCTGTGTCCTGTGTGAGAGCTGTGTCCTGTGTGTGAGTTGTGCCCTGTGAGAGCTGTGTCCTGTGTGAGAGCTGTGTCCTGTGTGTGAGTTGTGCCCTGTGAGAGCTGTGTCCTGTGTGTGAGCTGTGTCCTTTCTGTGAGTTGTGTCCTGTGAGAGCCGTGTCCTCTGAAAGCAGAGTCCTGTGTGAACTGCGTCCTGTGTGCACTGTGTTCTGTGTGAGTTGTGTCCTGTGAGAGCTGTATTCTATGTGAGTGCTGTGTCCTTTGTGAACTGTGTCCTGTGTGCACTGTGTCCTGTGTGAGTTGTGTCCTGTGAGAGCGGTATTCTGTGTGAGAGCTGTGTCCTTTGTGAATTGTGTCCTGTGTGCACTGTGTCCTATATCCGTGGTGGCACGTTAGTCCCTGAATCCGATGCTTTCCCCGGACCAGGCGCACACAAGTGGCCCTTGAGTGCTGCGGTGGGCGGGTCTGGGGACGGGATGGCAGCCCAGGGCCTATGTCTTGTTTAAATGTCTTGATCCACTTGGAAGCAGCAGCGGTGCTGGAGACTGGGATGAGCAGGCTTGAGGCGTCTGGCCCTCCTCAGGCCCGTCCCCCTGAATTGCGCCTCTGTCCACGTTCCCCGCTCCATCTTCTCCTGTGTCCTGCCGTCCGACAGGGAGCCCCGCACCACACGCCCACGACACCGGTGCCCCTCGGAGGCCCACACCTGCATTCCTGTGGCTGTCAGTGTGTGCTGGGGGCACTGTCCTTCTGGAAGGTGGAGCCCACTGCCCACCTGCCTGCCCACCCAGCAGGATCGTCGTCACATCTCCTGTGGTCCTGCTGTGGGCCGCGTCCACCTCTCCTCACCACACCCAGAGTGAGGTCAAGGCTGGCCGCCACCCAGCGCTCCCCTGACCACTGCTCACCTGCATGGCCGTGTCTCCAGGGACGGGGCCATTGTCAGCGGGAGCGGGCCGGTGTGGGCAGACATGAGGGGCCAGCACGTCTCTCTGGCTCGGGAAGGCCATGGAGGTGGGGAGGAAGGAGCAAAGGGTGTGCCGTGAGCACCTTCCTGCCGTCCAGGGGCCTCTGCGGCGGGCAGCAGGGCACTGTCCCCTTGTCCCTCCTGTGGGTGCTCGGCTGGTATTCACCCGCTGCCACCCCGCCACGTGCTGCCAAGTCTGCACACAGCCCCTTTGTTCAGCCGCCTGCAGATGCAGGTCCTGGGCCTGCGCCCCGTCCCTGGCCACAGCGACCATCAGCTGGCCTTGGCAGGGAGCCAGCCCCTCCTGAGGCCCCTGTGCTGGAACGCTCCGAGCCTGCCAGGCCTCCGGGGAGACCTGGGACGTCCATCTGCACCCACAGCGGACAGGGAGCCACCTGGCGGTCTTCCTGGTGGAAGTGACTGAGGGGGCTCTGGACTGGCCCCAGAGGACATTGCTGTTCTGGGACCCTGAGGGAGGTTTCCTGAGGGTGGGTGCGCCACCTCTGCTTGGCCCTGGGGCCACTCTGCTCCACTCCCCTGAGCTCCGGCCCAGGGGCTCCGGCTCTCCCAGGCCTGCACCATGCACCATGTGCGGTGAACTGTGGCTGGTGACTTCAGAAGGACACTTCCCCTTTGTCTTGCTTGGGGGGGAGGGAGGCGGGCTCTCCCCCACCGGGAAGCTCAGTGCTGGACTGTGGAGAGCAGAGACCTGAGGGCCCCTCCCTGCCCTGAGGGTTCTGGTATCCTATGGGTGGGCGCCTATGAGCCAGCACCCGGGCCTGACTGCTGGGCCCCCTGCCTGCCAGTGATGTCTGGCTGACTGGCTCAAACCCAGAATCTCCCCAGGAAGGGGACGTGGGCATGGGGCTTCTCCGGCCCTCCTCCTCCCGTTCCTCTGTTCCAGCAATCTGGATTATCCCTCCTACCAGGAAGCCACTTAACCCCCAGGATTTGACCTACCTCCACCACCTCTGTTTTTGAGCAAATTTTTGTTTGCAGTTTATTTTGCATTTTCACAAATACTCTTCCCAAGCCCTATCCCTTTACAGCGGGGCAGGTGGATTTGTGTCACGCGGTTCCCCGAGGGGTCCCGATCTCTGAGTCTCCCACAGACTCCAGGAGGGGCCTGCCCTGGGCGTGTCCCTGGAGCCCAGGTCCTGCTGCAGGGCCTGTCCTTCCTGTAGATGTGGCTACTCCAGGGTGGCAGCCGGCCAGTGCCCGAATCCAGAGGTGAGTGCTCAGCTGCACCCTCCAACCGTGGGCCTGCTGGTCCTGCCGCCTGCCCCCGCCATATTCCATGTGCCCGGAGGCCCACAGGGCAGTGGGCACTCTGAAATGGGAGAAGCTGGAGGTGATGGTCCCTTGTGCATTTTATTTGTAGTATTATGGACCACACCTGGCTGTGCCCAGGGCTTCCTCTTGGTTCTGTGCTCACAGCACAGCAGTTGGGGCTCAGGGAGACCCAAGGGGTGTCAGGAATGGAATCTGGGCCGGCCTTCCCGTTGTGCTATCTTCCCCGGCCCAACTGTGGGGTCTTCTGAGGCTCTGGGGGTGCAGGTTCTGGCTCCTCCGAGGCAACTCTCCTGTCCTGCCCCTCTGGCTAAGTTGCTGGGCTGTGCCCTGCCTGTCCTCCGCAGGGTCCAGCTGCTGCACGGTCAGCCCTCAGCCCTGTGTTGTTCAGGGAGGGCAGGGATGGAGGCCATGTGGTAGCCCTGGAAGGCTGTATGCGGGCTGTCCTGTCCCTGGCCGGCTGTGTGCAGGCTGTCCCATCCCCTGGTCCCTGGCTCTCTGGTACCTGAAGCAGGGCCAGGCATGTCTCCAGCTTCCTGCCTTGGAGATGCCCCAGGCCCTGTCAGCCCTGGCCTGCCACATTCAGGAAGTCTTCTTGGATTGCTCAAGCCCCAGGAACTCGATTACACTGCCTGCTTCCCTGACTGCAGCTGACTGCCCGCCTTCTAGGTTAATCCGTATTTGTCCAGGATGTTGCTGGTGTGGGCAAGGCAGGGCCTGTTGGGTGCGTGTGGGGCCACAGCCCTGAGGAATGGCGTTTCTGAAGTTCTGGGGTCCTGCACCCCCGGGAGCCAGTTAAGGACAGACTCCAGGGCATGTGGTTGGAAGGTCTGAGAAGGGCGAGCAGGTGTGATAGGGGAGGGGTCAGTGCTGTACTTTGGACATGCTTTCCTGGAGTGTGTGTGTCTAGGGTTGGGCTCTGGGGCCAGCGACACCCCAGGGTGCATGTCACACCAGCTGCTCAGGAACCGGGTCAGGATCCGGGTCGGCAGGCTGCACTCTCTGAACCTCCTGCCCTGGGCTGTGCAGATCTGAGCTCCACGGTGGAGGGTTGGGGGGACTCCAGGAGGCCCCGCGAGGTGTGTTTTGAGTTCTGGTGTGAACTCTGAAGCTTCCTGTTCCTTGTGGGGTGACAGGGTGAGGCCCAGCAGGTGCCACTATCTGGCAGCCTGGGGTGGGGGTGAGGGGCTTGCCATCTGTTCTCAGCAGAGCATTGCAGTGGTGGCAGGCACCCCTGGCAGGGTCTGCGTGTGAAACTGCTTCCTGCTGTCACCACCCCCTGGGCACTTGCTGAAACCCAGGGATCCCCTGGGGCTCTTCCACCCAGCTGCTGGCAGAGCCTGTATGCATGTGTGTGCATTGTGTGTTTGCATCCTGTGCATCATGCATGTGTGTGTACGTGTGCTTTGTGCATTTGTGTGCGTAGGTGCGTGTGCTCACAAGTGTGCATTGTGCGTGTGTGTGTGCATGTATGTGTACATTGTGGAGTGTGCGTTCGTGTGTGTGTGTGTGTGTGTGCACGGCTGCCGTGTCATGCCAGGTTTCCACAGTAGGGACCCAGAATCTGTGCTCAGAGTGCCATATGGGGTGCTGAGGATCACACTCGAGATGGCCACATGCAAGGCAACACTTGAACCCTGACTTCCAACTCATTTCTGGCTCCTGGCGATGCTTTGTCTGTGCCCTTGTGCTTTGGACTGGGCACCTGCTGGGCAGGCGCAGGGCCTGCCGCCCAAGGAGCCATTGTGCTGCCTTTCCTCAGAGACCCCAGTGTGCATCCTCAGCTGAGCTCAGGCCCTGCAGGCAGCAGCCCTGGATGCCCCGCATGCAGCATGGG